TCGTTGTCGTTGTCGTTGTCGTTGTCGTTGTCGTTGTCGTCGTCGTCGTCGTCGTCCTCGTCGTCGTTGACGCACAAAGTTTCGGTTATGTCAGCGGTTCGACAGCACCTCGGCAACGCGGCATTCGCTAATCTCCCTCTGCTCGAGCTACGCTACCGACACTACAGACATGCGCCGTTCCCCAGAAACACACACACTTACGAGCGCAGTGTACACATAGCCGACCACAGCGGACAGTACGAGACGCGCAGTCCACATAAACGTATTGCCGTACGAATGTATTGTGTGGTGGCCGGGGCGTCTGCCGGATACGCGAATCGACGACGACGGCGTCGACGGCGGCGGTGGCGGCGGCGGCAAGATCACAGAGAAAAACGCGTAAACGCGAGTCATCATCCTTAGATAGACGAGCGCGCATGCGTGGTACCGAGCGCTAGGTTTAGTCAGCGCGCCCTTGCCATCCTTATTCTGCTACTCCCAGGCTCTCTTTATTGTCCTTTGTACCTGATATTTTCACATTTATTATCGCTCGGTAATGTTTGATTATTGGCGAGGTTGTTGCTTTGTTTTAACTTGCGCACAATAACCCTCGTATTATCATTGTCGCGGAGTTCGTTCGAATATGAAAAATTTATATATTACGTACGTAATATTTTTTTAAGGACAGCGAAGGAGTTAATGACATTAGACGTGCCAATGTTATCATTGTCGAAGACTTTCAAATCTCGTATTAATTTCATAGTATTGGTATTACGTGCGCATTTAGATTGAGATTTTATACTGGTCGTTCTTGGGAATGTTTATTGACAATCAATAATTTTGAAATTTTTATATAGGATTTTCATTTTTAACTATTAGTGTTTGTGATAAATAAAATTTTACAAGAGTCTAAGCACGATCTTTGGATATTGGTTATTGGACGAAAATATTTATATTGGCATTTGGCTCAACCGGGCCTAAAAAACTCTTACGCAAATATAATTTCAGCATTAGAATTTGCTAACACACTTAACACACATTACATGCTTTATAATAATATATTTTCTAATAAGCAGTTAATAAAAGTTGCTTGTATAGGAAAAATTCTATAATTATGTTCGATTCTCATCATATTACACGTGTTTCTTGAATAATATTGCGAACAAAAATGACCGCGTCCGTGCATTCTCGAGCAAAAAAAAATTTTATCAATATAAGTAGTAAACTTTTAATTTTTAAAAGATCTTAATTTGTTGCAGACAAGCGCTATGAAAAATAATGCAGTTTATAAAATCATTAACTATACATAATGATTGTTTTTTTTTTTTTTTTTAAGAACTTATTGCCTATTTGTTAATTTGTATTTGGTACACATTTTACGGCAGCTAAAACTTGATCGATAATACAGAATTTTGAAAAAATGTGAATTTTTTAACATGTAACGCCTATCCTATCTTTATTTCCAAATTGTATATACTACGGTTTTGCATTTAGCAATTCACGTTTTTCGTTATATATGACCATTCGTATATGCAAATGTGCGTATACATTTATATGCCTACATGTGTGTATATATATATATATATATATAGGCATATATATAAGCACATGCGCGCACACATTAATAAAATTAATGACAGATATTAAGTACTGAGGTATATAGAAATCTTTTTAAATTGAACTTTTCGTGTAAATAATTATATCAGTGATTGATTAAAAATTTTTTTGTTTCAGAATTGAATATAAGGTTAAACACTACTTGATGTTAATTTATCAAATACAAAGATTGTGAACTATTTTGTATAAAGCATTTAAAATGACTACAAAATTAATATTCTTAGAATCTATAGACATACTGGGCACAATACCAAATTATCATACACTTTTGTTTGTATTTAGTATTGCTAGTTTAATTTGGTTTTTCATTAAAAAACAAAGTCAGTCTGTAAATAATCAGGCTACTACTGATGAATGCGATCGTAAATTAGAAGAATGGAGACCAGAGCCATTAATATCGGAGATTAAGAAAGATCATCCTTCGTTGACTCCCAAAACAATAACATCCAGAGTCGGTAAAAGAATAATTGTCAATGAATATGATTGTTTAAACCTTGGAACACATAATTATTTGAATTTAACCGAAAGTGCCGAGATAGAACAAGAAGCTATTAGAAGTATACAGAAATATGGTGTTGGATCTTGCGGACCACGAGGATTTTATGGAACAGTAGATGTACATTTGCGCTTGGAAGAACGTTTGGCACAATTTATGAAAATGGAAGAAGCGGTCGTTTATTCTTACGGTTTCACTACAATCGCATCAGCAATTGCGGCGTATTGTAAGCGTAAAGATTTAGTATTTGTAGATGAAAAGGTTAATTTTGCTATACAAAAAGGACTCGACGCATCAAGATCAAATATTAAATTTTTTAAGCACAATGACATAGATCATCTCGAACAATTATTAAAAGCCCAAAGTGGCCTACATAAAACAAATTCACAAGGTGTAGAGACAACTAGAAAGTTTTTAATCGTTGAGGGTATTTATATGAATACAGGAACTATATGTCCTTTACCCGAATTAGTAATCTTATGTAGAAAATACAAATTACGAATTTTTGTGGATGAATCTATTTCGTTTGGTACTCTAGGAGCTACTGGACGAGGAATTACAGAGCATTTCAATGTTCCAAGACATGAAATCGACATGATAATGGGTTCGTTCAAATTAACTTTTGCTATATTATTTTAAAATTGATTTCAGATCTTATAAATAACTTAAATGCCAAATATGTTTCAGGTTCATTAGAGCATGCAATTGGTTCAGTGGGTGGATTTTGCGTAGGTTCTTCATTTATTGTTGAACATCAAAGATTATCAGGGCTAGGCTATTGTTTTTCTGCATCCTTACCACCTCTTTTAGCTACTGCAGCCATCATTTCGTTAGAAATTATGGATAATAAACCACAAATTTTTCAGATACTGAAAGAAAATTGTCATAAATTTCACAGAGGTATTAAAGAAATGGATATTTTTGAATGTCCAAGTTTTGCAGAATCACCTGTGCAACATTTATACTTGAAAAAACAACTTGATAATGAGAAAGAGAAGGAATTACTAGAAGCAATATCTGATAAATGTATTGAAAATAATTTGGCAGTTATAGTCCCAGTATATCTAAATGTTGAGAGAGAACAACCTCGATTTAGTATAAGAATATGCATTTCTTCTAGCTTGAATCAAAATGATATAAATTTCGCCTTAAATATATTAAATAAATGTGCTAATGAAGTTTTATGAATATAATTATTGTAATTTAAAATCATCAATTGAAGGTTTATAAATGCATACAATAGGGTACACATGCACATACGCACGCAAACACACATTACATTATAATATGCATAAGTTGCTTATATGTTCAAATCACCTAAAATAATTGTAAACTGTTAATAAAGTTTATTTATTTTTATATGTATTTTATTAAAAAAAAAAAAATTTTCTCTCTAAATTAAAATATGATCACTGTAATCTTTCAGATACAGCAAAAATATTTTTAATGTAAATTCACTTTAAAGTTTTCAACAAATAACAAATAAGTCGAACTGAGTTCTGGTTAATGGAAATAAACAAAATATCGAGGCAAGATTACGTTAAGCTTCAAATGAAATAAAGTAAAGAAATACTAGAATTTACTGGAAAGTTTAACCGAATATTCGAAAATTCCACTAGCCATTGGCTTCCTGTTTATAGTTTTCATTTTATTATACAGATATTAAATTTGATTTGCTTTACACTTTCTATAATTAACTCATAAAATTATGAATTCAATAATGATAATTTTATATCGAGACATTATTGAAATTGTATTTTTAGAATTCAAATCCATAATTATATTTTACTTCAAAGGAGTCACCATGATTACTGTCGATAATGTAGATCGTCGACAGTTTATTTGATCTTCCGGTTTTTCGAAACTAGATAATTGAGTTTCCTGGTTCCAATTTCGGCCATTACGCCCAATTTTTTTGCCGAGGTATGTATAACTTGTGGTTGCTCAAAATGATATCTTAAATTTAATCAAATATTCTGTATTGTAATGCAAATTATTTACAAAAATATAAGTCTATAATTAAATTATTAACATTGAGAATACGATTTTAGTATATCGAAACGGTGAATTTCATATAATTTCGATTAATATGTACATTGAGGTTATGAATCCACGTGGCGTGCTCTAAAGCTTTCATTAAAGAGTAGTTAATACGGTAGAATATTAATATAATGTATTTAAATTAAATTGATGAAAAACTATTGCGTCTAAAGGTCCGATCAGCGTTCAAAAGCTAGAAATAGCTGAACCCATTTGGGCGCCGGATTCAATGTTGAAAAACGCATTCAATGTAGTCTGAATTTTTTTTTCTTTTTTACTAGAAAGTTTTAAGAATTTAATATACATGCAAAAGAATTTACTTGTCAATTATTAATTACAGTCCTTAAATTTCCGTACGGTATCCCTACACACTTCACGATGGGTAGGGAGGACAAGGCAACCTGGAAAGCAGGTTATTTTAATAAACTTATTGTGAGTACGATGAAATATGAGTAATTGTAATTATTTGCCTATACGATAATTAAATTAATTAATTTTTTTATACTGTATAGCAACTTTTGGATGATTATCCAAAATGTTTTATCGTGGGCGCAGACAATGTTGGATCGAAACAGATGCAGCAAATACGTATGTCACTGCGGGGTACCGCAGTCGTTTTAATGGGTAAGAACACCATGATGAGAAAAGCTATACGTGGTCATATTGAGCGCAATGCAGCTTTGGAAAAGTTATTACCACATATCCGTGGTAATGTCGGCTTTGTCTTTACACGGGGAGATCTCGTTGAAGTCAGAGATAAGCTTTTGGAGAACAAAGTCCGTGCTCCAGCTAGAGCAGGAGCTATTGCTCCATTGAGTGTTGTAATTCCTGCGCAGAATACCGGTTTAGGTCCTGAAAAAACTTCTTTCTTCCAAGCTTTGAGTATTCCAACCAAGATTTCTAAAGGAACTATCGAAATCATTGTAAGTCCCAGTAAAAACTTCAATTTAAACAAAGGATTGTAAATATATATATTTTTAAATTTTGCATTTGTTATTTATGACAAGGATTTGTAAAAAAAAAAAAAAAAAAAAAAAAAAAAAAAAAAATTTTATATTTCAGAACGATGTGCATATTTTGAAACCGGGTGATAAAGTTGGAGCTTCGGAAGCTACGCTTCTGAATATGTTGAACATCTCGCCATTTTCATACGGTCTGATCGTCGAACAAGTCTATGATTCTGGAACAATTTTTGCTCCTGAAATTTTGGATATCAAGCCAGAAGATCTTCGAGAGAAATTTTTGGCTGGCGTTGCTAATTTAGCATCTGTCTGTTTATCAATTGGTTATCCTACTATCGCCAGTATTCCACACAGCATCGCCAATGGATTCAAGAACTTATTAGCTGTCGCAGCAGCCACGGATGTCGAATTTAAAGAAGCAACTACTATAAAGGAATTTATTAAAGTACGTGAAAGTTGAAAGAAAATTGTTGTGTAAAAATTATTTTAGTATAATTGAAGTAATTTGATTATTAATTGTTTTGCAAATTCAATTTATAAGTCATACGCAACAATTTTACTTCTTTTATACTTTACTTTGTATATTTTAACGTGACCTTTATTAGTTTCTGAATGATGAAAAGTTTTCACGCCTTAGAAGTTGAATCAGTAATCAGAAGCTAGAAATAGCGGGACCCATCTGGTTACCAACTTAAAGCTGAAAAAGCATACTATGCTGTCTGATATTACGATAAAAGAATATATTTTAAAATATGTTTAAATGACGATTGTTCTCAAATGATAAATTTCATTGTAGGATCCCAGCAAATTTGCTGCTGCTGCTACCAGTGCTGCTCCAGCGGCAGCCGCTGCTGCTGCTCCGGCCGCCGAAAAGAAAGAAGAAAAGAAAAAGGAAGAATCTGAATCCGAGGATGAAGACATGGGCTTTGCTCTCTTCGACTAAGTTTTGTATCAGTGATATTTTTCAATTACAAATATACACAATTTGTTACTGATACTTTCACTGACTAATAAACAAAGTATCAGAATTAATAAAATATAAAACACTTTCTTCCAAATCTCCCTTTTTCTCAATACTAATTTAATATTTCATGGCAACAATTATATGAAATTAATGAAAATTATCAACTAGCAAACGTAAAATGTATTGCAATTAGAATGACAAAATTAAAAATTTTTTATTTACCTTTTATACGTTTACCACTTGAAATCGTGAGATTAATCGAAAGCTTTTATTAAAGTAATCTATATTTTGATTTGGATGAACAATATATGATTTCAAAATTACAAAATATAATTTAAAAGTTAACCTAGATAGATTTGTATCGTTAGAAACATTATGGAATATAAGAACAATCAAGCAGTATGTTTATAGTGATAAGAATAAAAAGAAAAACTAGCATTTCGAAATGATAATAAAAGTGTAATTGAGTTAAATTTATATCGCAAGTACGTAATCGTAACGGTCTTTATTCTTCAAATAAAAATGAACGAACACGATTAAAAAGCTTATACAATATTGAGTAAACATTTGATCGTTGCGATGATATTCTTTTACATATTATTCGAAGACACTTGTTCGAATGAAGATAATTTTTTACATTCATATATAATGGTCGATCGGTATGATGTAATATAAATGGATTTGTACAATAAGTAAGAAAAACTTGACGAATCTCGCACGTGAGAAGTCGAATTGTACATGGGCCTCCCCCTCATCAAATAATCGAGTCTCAAAATTCCAACCATTTAAAATGCCGATTCGGTTAATTAACATTCATGCGAATCTATTTAAAGTAATTGGAAATATGGAGAGAAAAGTCGTGCACTAGAAATAATCTTTCATACGTTAACGGCAGAATTACCAAGCCCGCTTGTAACATGCTTCAAACACAAATTTTAAAGCAGTCGGTGATTTCGTAATAATTATTTTAACGGAAAACAAATGGGTGTTCCAATTACCATTATGTAGTGATAAGATTACCCGATGTATTATTATATTAATAGTGGTAATAAAATGGTTGGCTGAATATGCGAATACGTAAAGTGAAAGGATATATATAAAATATGTATATATATATATATATATATATATATATATAAATCAATTACGTAAACGGAAAATGTAATTTTCTTGGAAGTTGATATTGAAACAGTAAATAAAAAAACTAAAGAAAAAACAACTTGGCAGAAGGGGAGGGTAGGCCGATGAGCAAAGAGCAATGGGAATAGGCGTTGGCGCCTCGAGTCTGTTTACGTAGTGGCAGTAGTAACTTGCTGCTAGATAAGTTGCGCATACGTTGTACTTGTGTCAGTAACAATCGCCGCACCAGTTGTCCAGGTCGTTGCCTTCGTCGTTAGTCGTCGTCACACGTCCTCGTCGTCGTTAGTCGTCGTCACACGTCGTCGTCGTCGTTAGTCATCGTCACACGTCGTCGTCGTCGTCGTCGTCGTCGTCGTCGTCGTCATCGTCGTCGTCGGTCGTTGTCAGGCTGATTGCGCGCACAACCTGTATACTATCTCTCATATATAAAAAAACGTGCCTTACTAACTCCTCGGACATAACGCGGAGTTGGACACTCGATTAGTGTGATTCTCGGACGGCGGCAAATTCGAGTCGTTGAGTGCTCAATTAATTAGACTTTTGCTTTCGTAAACATCAGGCAGTATCGCCGTAGCCGTCGTTGTTGCCGTTGCTGTTGTCGTTGCCGCCGCTTTGTTCAGTGTGTACACAAGCCGTACACACACACACACAGAGATCTTGATCAAGAAAACGAGCGTTACGACATTCTGGAAGTTAACGGATAAACGCAATGGGTTTATTGTCGGAGGGAAGTCCGCTTAATTGGGAGGAGACGAAAAAACTCTCCGACCATGTGAGAAAGCACGGGATCATACAATTTATTAACCTGTACAAAAGGCTCAGAGACAGAGAGGGCGATGTACTTAAATGGGGAGACGAGGTTCGTAACAACACAACAAGCTTCATTTTTCTTCTCGTACTATACTTTGACCATGCCGTTGTTTCTCTCACTTATCAAAGTAGTTTTACATAAAAGCATACACGACGACGAATCGCGAGCATGACTAAGTGTGTGCATATGTGTGGTACATTGCGCGGTTCGTGGTTTCTCTTTAATTTTGTTGACCCGTTGTTTTATCGCGAATAGGTTAGATTTTTGCTAGTGTTTTTTATTTATTTTTTTCAATTTCATTGTTGTTGTTGTTGTTGTTGTTGTTGTTGTTGTTGTTATTATTATTATTATGAATAATTAATTATTGTATGCCTTTTGCAATTCATGTGGTAAGGTGGCCGATGATTTCGTCGTTCTAAGCTCAGCCGAGCTATTTTCATGAAATCGACGTTGTGGTTGTTTTTGTTGTAATTGAAGTGTAAGTGGGCTCGGTAAGTCATTGAGTATTGGTGAAAAAAAAATGCAATGAATTTGTTTATATGATTTCACGTAGCTTAATGTCAATTAAAATTAAATGCCTTTCGTGAACCATTGCATTCATCATTTGCCATTTACAGTGGAACAGTATTTGATTTTTAAATAATCAATTCTGTATAGGACGTGAATGTCAGTAATTAGTTATAAAGATACTTTTCCCAAGGAAAGTAATTATACAGCGAACATTCATTTTTAATGCCCAGACACTTTTATATTCATCTGCCTTGTTTTACGATTTCTATATATTATATATTTTTTTTTTTTTTTTTTTTTTTTTTTTTTTTTTTTTTTTTTTTTTTTTATTAAGTCAGAATAATTTATTAAAAGTTAAAAGAGTTTAGCCCGAAAATGGCGACGAGCTATGGTAATATATGATTCGTATACAGTTAAGAAAGCGCTCGGATTGGTCTCCTTAAAACGAAAAAAGAAAAATATATAAAATTGAAAATTACACTGCAAACAAAATATTAACCAACCAAATGTGTTTTGCAATAATAAGCATACAATTAATTAGTCAATTATATATTACACAAAATAATTGTCACTACTTAATATTTATTCGAATACTTTTAGTCGTAGAGGTAATTCATGTCAAATAAATCACTGCATACAATTGACCTTAAAAAAATTAATAGATGCCAAATATTTGTAAAAAAAAAAAAAAAAACATTTAAATGGTATTATTTATTACAATTAAATACGTATGCCTATAATATTTCAACGGCTTTTTTTTTTTCGTTCTAATACTCATTTATCATGGACGTCGATATTGATGTGTACCTGTCCATTCACTCTATTTCGATGTATTTTAGTAATTACTATTCACAGAAATGACGATATTTCGTGAATAAATTTAATTTTGTTCATCATTATTATCTGGTTCCATTTAACAGAAACTTTATTTATTCTCTCATTAATTCTGTAAATTGATCAATAATTTATATAATTGTTCAATCTTTTTTTCCGCCTCTATTTATGAGCAAATTTAACTTCTTTTTCAATAACTTTAACATTTAATTTAATTCTAAACTTTTGTGAAAAATATAGTTAAAAATACAAATAATAAATAAAACAAAAAAAAACAAAAAAAAAAAAACGTATAAAATTATAATTTTATATTTTAATGCAGATTAGCTCGTATATGTAAAAATCTTTTATCCTAAAAGATAATTATAAAAATCATAAATTTATTTCGATAAAAGTAACGAGAAAAGTATAAGTGAGAAATGCTTTATGATGAATCAATTATGCCAAAATCCGATAAAAATTTTATCCGACGCACCACAAAAAAAAAAAAAAAAAAAAAAAAAAAAAAAATTTAATAAAAACTGGTCCTACGAGTCGAGCAAAATTTTCCCACCAATAGAATATCAGTAAATTTTTTGTATCAAATCTCAACAAGAATAAAAATTCAGTATATCGTATCGAAATTAAAATTTTTATTTCAAAAGATTACTTACTAACCAATCGAATGCACATATAAATTTCATTTAAGTATATATGCAATTTATGTTAATATTATTTTTGAAGAAAAAAAAAACTACATACCAATTCGAAATAAATAATTAAGACATTTTTTATGATCCAAGGGTGAAAAATTATGTGCTTCATTGCTTATTTAAATATAATTTATAAATACAATATTATTCATAATCTTCATTCATTTATATAGCAGTATTTTTAATATTTTAAAATAAGGATGAATAATGCATTTTTCACGTTAATGCGAAGTAGCGTTGCAAGCTAATAAGGACATATATTAAACGTATGTAATTGAAATAAAAAATATAGATTTATGTTCACTATATTAAAGGTTGATTTTTTTTCTTCTAATATTATTTCATAGATGGTAAGGTAAAATTTCGTGATTAAGTATTACTATTTTCATTCATTTTTGTAGAATTAATGTATTCGATTTCATTTTTTGTTGTTGTTGTTGTTGTTGTTGTTGTTTTTATTTGTTTGTTTTAAATACTACTTACGCTGTCGCATAAATTAGAGATTGTAAGGAAAAATTATTATCGTTCTACACGAGTGAATTGTATGTATTTTACAATTTTGATCTTAGGTGGAATATATATTGGTGAAGTTTAACGATTCCGAAAAAACTGCAAAAGTATCATTGAGAGCTGAAAAATATTTGTCACAATTGCAAGAAAAGGAACACAATGATCCAAGGCAAGTTTAACAAGAAATTATCATTACGTTATAATAGTCGGTATATATAAGTATTGATTGATTGAAATAGAAATTTATAGAAAAATGTTAATTATACTTAAATTTTTATAATCCTAAAGAGAATTATTAATATTATTACCATAAAAATATTACTATGTTTGCATTAATATTGCAAGTTATAATTTTTTTAAAGAAACTGATACGTACGCATGTGTCTCTTAATACGATTAGTAAAATGTTATTAATGTTAAATAAAATTTTGTTAAAGCAATGTCAAGTCTCTTTGGCGTCCAGAATACGGAGCTTACATGATCGAAGGAACACCAGGAAAACCTTATGGTGGCCTGCTGGCACATTTTAACGTGGTTGAAGCAAATATGCAATATAGAAGACAAGAAGCCACGAAATTATTAGAGCCCGGGGAGGTTCTCATGTCATTAACCAATTTTCCAAGGTTAGTCACGTAAGAAAGAAGGATTTTATCCTGAATAAATTTTTATTCAGCTAGTTATTATAATATAGAAACTTGTACAGATTAGGAGCTGATGATTTCACGGATCCTCCTGCTTTCCCTGCTCCATATTTCGGACCATCTAGGAGTTTATTTTTTCCTAATGAAGCTATTTTTTCGGGTCATCCGCGATTTAAAACATTAACTAGAAATATTAGAAGCCGTAGAGGGGAAAAAGTTGCCATCAACTTACCAAGTACAAATTTTATTATTTACTTAAATAAATTTTCGATGAAATTTATTTCAATGCTAATCTGTTTCATGTTGAATTCTAAACGTAGAGACATTAAATAATTAATATTAGAATGAGAATTTCTATTTTATGAGCGAGCGATACTCGGTAAAAAATGTAATTGATAACAAAAATATTATTTATAATCAATTAATATTGTAAATAGAAGCTTATAAACTTTTACATTTTCAAGTCAAATAATGCTATACTCAATGTGACATTTTTTTTTTTTTTTTTTTTTTTTTTTTTTTTTTTTTTTTTTTTTTTAAAATAATAAAATGTAAAACATCTTAATGAATTATAATGTTTTCAGTTTACAAGGATAAAAATATTAAATTGCCCTTTAAAGAAGATTTAGCTACATTGGGAGACGATGGAACGAGTGAAAAAGCAGCCAAAGAAAATCATGTTTACATGGATGCAATGGGATTCGGAATGGGTTGCTGTTGCTTACAACTTACATTTCAAGCTTGTAATATCGAAGAAGCGAGAACTTTATACGATCAACTTACACCTCTCTGTCCTATAATGGTAAATATGTGTCAAAGAATATTATTATTGTTACTATTGCTGTTTTTTTTTTTTTTTTTTTTTTTTTTTTTTTTTTTTTTTTTTTTTTTTTTAATATAATTGAAAATGTTAAATTGGCATGTCTCTCGTGCATGCCTTACAGAAAATATTTATTTCACGTTCGACAGCTGGCTCTTACTGCTGCCAGTCCATTTTATAGAGGCTACATAACCGATGTCGATTGCCGATGGAATGTTATTTCTTGCTCCGTTGACTGCAGAACTGCAGAAGAACGTGGACTGGAACCGCTTAAAGAAAACAAATTTCATATTAACAAATCCAGATATGATTCTATCGATTCCTATCTTAGCGAACAAGGGGATAGATACAACGATGTACCACTAATCTATGATGAAAATATTTTTAAACAACTATTGGATAATGGAATCGATAGATTACTTTCACAACATATCGCTCATCTATTTATTAGAGATACCGTATCGCTATTTTCAGAGAAAGTTCAACAAAATGATCTTGAAGATACAGATCATTTTGAGGTAATTTATTTATTGTTATTTTATAATATATAGATAAATTTTATTTACTTCAGGATAATGATACTATTAGTTTCTTTATATTTCCCTTAATAATTTCTTAATCTTTCGAAACGAATGTCGCGAGAATGATTTAAGCAGATTGATCTTGTTAATATTTTGATAGACAATAAAAATGTTTCAAAATGTTCAAGCACAAATTTAAATTCTTAGATCAGATTTATTATCTTTTTTAACTATACACTTTATGTATGCGCACTGGTAAATTAACTTCATATTTTTAAGAAATTAATGGTAGTATTCTGATTAAAAAGAAAATTATATAGAAGTATTTTGTTTTTATTTTTTATATTATTAATCTTATAATACAATAGTATCTTTATATAATTACAAATATTTAGAAATTAACATGTCTCTTGTGCAGGTTTTACAGAATATATATATTTACATTTAACATATTGCTCTTACTGTCTACAGAATAAACTATATATACGTAACATGAACATTATATGAATATATCTTTTTATTTTAAGAACTAAATAATTCTTTAATGCTGCAAATTGTATATATCACACAATTTGTAATTCATTCGATTTAAAAATTTGATTAAATGATAAATCATGTGAAAATATACATTTTTTAATTAATTATGAATATTACTTTTTTAGAATATTCAATCGACGAACTGGCAAACAATGCGATTTAAACCACCACCATCAAACTCTTCAATTGGTTGGAGAGTTGAATTTCGACCTTGTGAAGTACAAATTACTGATTTTGAAAATGCAGCTATTGTTTGTTTTGTAGTACTATTAACACGGGTAATTTTGAGCTATAAATTAAATCTTTTAATACCCATCAGCAAAGTAGATGAAAACATGGCAAGAGCACAAAAAAAGGATGCTGTTAAATTGGAAAAGTTTTGGTTTAAGCGAGATATTACGTGTAATACGCAGCAAGGAGATATTAAAGATGAATTTACAGAATATTCTATAGATGAAATTGTGAATGGAAAGGTGTGTTTTCTTATTTTCAATTCGCATTCATTTAAGAATGATCTCCCTTCGCTCATTAAATACTATTTATGTGATAGGAAGGCACATTTCCTGGATTAATTCCATTGGTTAACTCTTATCTTTCGAGTATGGATGCAGATGCTGATACTCATTGTACTATACAAAGATATATTAAACTCATTCAAAGACGAGCATCCGGTGAACTTTTGACAACTGCGAGTTGGTTGAGACAGGAAGTAACGAAACATCCTGAATACAGGTTGGACTCGCCGTATTCAAAATAATGTTATAAGCACAAGATGTATAAGTTTAAATTCAAAGTTCCATTTTAATTTTTTAGGAGAGATTCAATAATATCACAAAAAATTAATTATGATTTACTTAAAAAAATCCATGATATCGAAACAAATAAAGTATCATGCCCCGAATTACTTGGACCGTGTACAATTTCCAAAACTTCAGAAACAGTTCCAGTAGCAATGACTAAGGCTGAAAATTGTTCTATTCCACATTAAATAGTATAATGATTAATCATCAAACCGAAAAATGTATTATTATATTTTTAAATAATTTTATTGTATACATTATACATCCTATACTTGTAATATACAACAATATTGTACTATAATTTTTAATGAAATGCACTATGTGCTTCAAAAAGTTAGAAATGCAGTAATGAAATTGGCGTATAAAGCTGCCTTATACTACTGTTAGAACATCTATTGTATAAATAAATAAATAGGTGTGTTGACATACTTTTTTAATAATTACATTGTAATTGTTGAATTTATTCATTTTTCAATTCCTATTTATGGAATATATTTTATAATTATCCCTGTTAGTTCTATAAGAGATGTAAGTATTCCATAATATTGCTATCGCTTGAACTACCAAAACTTGGTAATGTAATGGAACGAAGTAAAAATTCAGTAGTTGTACTATGGGCCATAGCTGTAACGCAATGTAATTAAATATACATATATATATATACATACAGATGCTGGTGTACGCATATTTACTAATATTAATAATGTTGCGACGAGACGTACATTACCTTATAATTATTTATCAAAATGTCCGTGTATTCATTTTTTAATTTTAATTTAGTACTTTTTAAATTATGTCCTTGCATCAATGCAATTGTACTTAACAGAATTGCTATGAATACGGGGGCAAATAATAATTGATCACAGGCAACTTTTTTTAATACTACTATTACTCCCTTTGAACCAAAATATTTATCTAATATACCATACCACGTTCTGGTTGCAGGGCCCTAAATTTTAAAATCAAAATGTTCTATTACAATAAATACATAAGTTACTGTTAAAATTTAAGTTTTATTACTTACTGCTATAAAAAAGCCAATACCAGCAAATTGGGCTGTTCTAATTAAATCCAAATTTTTTGCTGATCTTTTTTCAATATAATTTTGGGCTATTTGATCACCTAATCCTAACAAAGCCCCTATCATACATACAACAAATTACAATAAAATATTAATAAATTAATTATAAATAACAATACGAATTATACACATTTAAATAATCATTATATTTTCTGACCTGCTTGTAGAGCTTGCATTCCCAATGGATATTTTGCGAGCAATTTTGTATATATTCGAAAAAATCGTGACATCCTACTATAAATACTTCAACTAACTTATAGATATATTTATTTAATAATTATACATTAAAATAATAAATTATAGGTTAAGCTATATAATAGTGTATATAAGGTTAAGCCTTCACTTATTCCCTAACATATTAATAATAAGCCAGCACTATCGATAGTTTAATTTAAATAATTTACAAGCAAATGTCAACAATTCAATTGAGTTATCTAATTTTGATCATAAACATTGAAAAGTTTTACATCTAAGTACAACATCGGTTAAATACATTATTACTCTATTCATAATATTTTAGATATTTTTCAATCTAAAATTGAAATATCTCTCGCGATAAGAGCATAGATGTTCAAAAAAAATATTCAGCTATTTTCTATGTTCGTTATCTTTTCTAGATTACTGATATATTTTGAATTAACGTAAAAGAATGTTCGTTAAATTATAGGACAAGTTAAAACAAACTCTTTTAACAATATAATTTAGAACTAATCTACAACAAAATTCTTTAATGTATTATGTACGATTTAAATTATGAAATTGGAAAGCCAGTACATTTGAAATAAAATTTAATTTAAAATAGCAGAAAATATATATGCATATACATATGTATTGTAAAAAGTTTGTATGCAAAATTTATAATTTCATACGACTTTTTTTTAAGAATATTTTTAAAAATATAATATAATTAACTAAATTTTCAATTTTTTTAATTGATAAAGAAACACAGCAAACATTTTCGAGTTAATTCCTTTTTTTTCTGGAAATAATTATTGGACTAATGCAAATTATGCGTAAAAATAAAACATACATAAAATTTTTTATCATAAAAATTAAAAAGAAAACAAACTGATAGGAAAAGCTAACATCTTTTTTTTTTTTTTTTTTTTTTTTTTTTTTTTTTTTTTTTTTGCTCTAATTAGAAATTTTAATAAATTATAAGAACGTGCGAGAATTATAAAATTTTTTGAATTTTACATGTTATCATGTTATTATAGAGGTCTTATGTTATATTAAATGTAAGCCTGCCATTCATCTCAGTAAAATATCAAATACTCAATCACATTGCAGTTTCTCAATTTTTCTTTGTTTAACATTTTCCTCTTCGTCTTTCAATTTTCTCATGTTATTCGTGTTAGTTAAATTGCCGTTTTATTAAAAGCAGTATAATTTATAAAGCAGGCTTAAAATAAAATAGAAGTCGTGCATAAGCATAGATATGAAATTTTAATAAATATACATATGAAAAAATGTAATAAATATATGGTAAACGTAATTATTTAAGCTTTACAAGAGAATAAAATTGTATGAGATAAATATAGAGGATATCAAACAATAGAGTATCAATCGATTGTCAAATGTTATTAACAATTTACGTCATTAGTTTTTATTTTTAATTTAACTAGTTTATTAAAGTAATGTTTAATAAAAAGATAAATTTTTTAAAGATGGCATATTAAACAATGAATATATGTAAAATTTAATTCTCCATCAAAAGTAAAAACTGTTAAACATTTTCACTTGATGCGTGAGTTTTCGTAGTTTCATTTCATTATAATATCTTATTTATAAATACACGAGAAACAAAAGAGAAATAAATTTCAGTGGAGTGGATGTATTACAAGTGTAAGAAAGAGAATTTTATGCTTCTAAATAGACGCTTCTTATTTATCATTTTACTTTTTCAACTCTATTGATATATGAAATTATATAATTTGTCATTGAAAGAGCGCCAAGCACTTTTTGCATCGTTTTACTGTAAATATTCAGATATAACTTTCGTAATTTTAATAATCCCATTTATATTTTTTCCTTATAGTAAGTAAAACATATTTGCATTGGTAGTTGCGAAACAATTTTCTTGCTCATTGTTATGTTACGATTCTACTTATAATTTTTAATGGCCTGTGCACATTAAAATTTTACGAGAGTTGCAATTATCGCTGTAAATTATATCTTTTCTTTAAAAATATGTAAGATTTATTAAAAATCAATATATATATATATATATATTTTTTTTTTTTTGACGGTTAATCATTTAAACGTTAATAGAGTACACAAATTATATTTATTATGTTAGTAAAATATCGTAACTTTGCAAATAATTCATAATGTTCTATTGCAATGAAATATTAAAAATTTAAATAAATAAGATTTGATTGCATATATTTTAACTTTCTTATACTAAACAGATTAAATCAATTCAATAGAGAAAATATATTTATATAAGCATTTTTTTTATATGGGAGTACAATATGTCAGCTATAAGCATTTTTTTTTTTTTTAAGTTTATCATTTTCAGTTTAATCAGTTATTTTATATTTCATCATACAAATACAAAGAACACTTTAAGTTAAGATAAGTTTTTCAGATTATTATACACTACGTTAATACTTCGTTATTATAGAATAAATTAGATAAAATTACTTTTTACATTAACACTTTATCTCTTCTTTGATACAATAATTGATTCTTTTTATAGAATTTATGTATATTCCTTGAATTAAATATAATTTTAAAACTTAATGTATACTTCATTTATTTCCCCTTCCATACTCCTCAAAACTTAATATTACGCAGTCGTTATATATACCTAAATTTATTTAACGGTGTACGGCAAAAAACTTTTCTCTTGGCTGATTTCAAGCTCAACATTTCAAAGTTTGTATTCCAATTAGATTTTTTATCAATATTTAAGAATTCTTATAATTGTTATTTATTTATTAAGAAAATGAGATATCGTCAGTAATAGAGAGAAGATATATCCTAATCAATATACAATTTAATTTGCTTATGTATTTACATTTATATAATCGAATACATAGTGTAGTTAAATGAGTTTTGTTAATATCAGCTTCGATCGGCTTATTTCATAAAGCACGTATGTAAATATTAAAATTGTCTTTGATTAATCGTTACTTGCAGATAATTGTAATAATACAGTGATAAATTATTTACTTGATATGCTCATTGCTTATATGCTAATAAATGACTTTTAAAACTTTATCTAAAATATTATCGCTTTTTAAATTTTATTTTATCCATAGTTTTATCCGAATTTCATAATTTCGATTATTAATTGTATTCGATTATGAAAGATTCATTCTTTTTATTCGTATGGATCTCATTAAATTACTCGACGTATTCACAATTTAATATTTTATATCATACAATATAATGTTTAAATATATTTATAATTATGTTCAATTTTTATATTAAGCGAAAATAATTTAGTCAATTATGTATCGTTATTTAAAAAAAAAAAAAAAAATATATGATTATCTATATATGATTATAAAATAAAAAAATTTTTTCATTAATAATAATGCATTTCGAATAATAGAAATGTAAATTATATAATTTAATTACAAAAACACGATAAAGTTACTTTTTAATCAATTCAATTATAAAAAAAATTACAAAATAATTATTATAATCATAAGATCAAGAAATTCTTTTTAACTACGTATTCATTACAGCTAATAAGTATTTTCCAAGCATTAATTAAAGTGCGTATAATTAATATTAAATTAAAGCCTTAATTTGATTTTTTTTTTTTTTGAAATATATAATTATAAAAAACTATCGATATGTATATAATTTTAGTTAAATAGTTAAACTATTATATTATCCTACCAAATGTCATTATAATTATTTATTATTAATTTATTTATTGAAGATAATTATGGAGCGAAGGAGCTGTTGAATATATTTCATATTCTGAAGTTTATTATACAGTATTTTATTTTTCATGATATAATCCGATATCAAACGCTGGAGTAAAATAATTGAACTTTGATTGATATTTTAAATATTTATTTATATCTGTTTATATAACAATTAGAAAAAATATTTAGATATTTCCTTTATCCACAGTATTTATAAAACTAAGTATATCATTCAATTTGATTTTATAAATTTATTTATCGAATAAAAATATTATCGGTAACATTCATTTTACAATGATTTGTTACTATTGCATATTCCTAAATCAATTATATATATATATATTCTTTTTTTCTCCCCTTTGCATAGAACTCTGTATGAAATGTTTTAAGAGAACTACATTGAAATACACGAAATATAATATGTACTTGAGTATCATTAATTTATCCATAAGATTTGAAAAATATTTATGAAAATTCTTTCAGACACAAATTATATTTTATTTTCATTCCATTGGACCCTCGCAGATTATCCATCACATTTATATCGGTAAAAAATTAACTAAGAAAACTTTATTTTCACACCTGATCTTTGATTGTAATGATCACACAGTCGTAACTATTAACTATATCACATATGTAATGACAATGGTGCGTCGTACAATTATGATTATGACTAAAAATTTTCATAAAAACAATTGTACAATAAGAGAATATAGCAGAATTTAACCTTTTGAACTTTAATGAGTTTCATTTGGTCCGGAATGAATTAACGTCGCTGAGTCAAACTAAAATAATTTCTTTATCAAACGACAGATCAGTAGTCTATGGTTTTTGGACGAGTTTTCATATACACATATGCTACAATAATAGCAAAAATTGCAGCCACCGTTGGTAATACAATTGTAAAAACTCTCTGCTTATTTTCGAGAAATTCCTTTTTGCGTTCTTTTTTCTGTTTGTTAGTTTCTTTCGTTTTACTCTTTAAATATCGCATTCTGTAAGGTAAACAAATTAATTAATTACAACATATAATTATTTTTCGGCTTTCTTTTCTCAAATTATGATAATACAAATTAATATGTGAATCATTAATTACCTAAAGCTTAAAGTATTATTATTAAAAAAATAATAGTCGACTGTATTATCGCTGTAGGAACGAAGTGTCGCCTAAGCTAACAATTATTCTAATTACTCAAATAACCTATTAAGCAACACCTGCTGACTAAATTCTACTTGCTTACATTTCACACGTAGTCAGTCTTCTTTTTTTCTTGTCGAGCCATAGCACGAGACGTTATTCCATTGGTTATCCTTTAGTCCCGTTTA